TTAACTTCCATTCATACTTTTCAATATTACAATATTATTCAATCTGTATTGGTCATAATTTAATTGAAATGTATAATTTATAATATTATGTACGTGGAACTAATCACACAATATTAATTTACCAAGCTGTCATGGTGCATAGTCTCTATTTAATCTATCTAAGGCGCTTTAATGGTCTGTATTAAATTTATCGTCTAACTACTCCAAATATGCATAACTGTAAAATCCACATAATATATTACTTTTGACTAGGTATTTGAAATACCGATTGTTGGCTACATGGGAGACGTTTTGAGTTTTAAAATGTATTTTATTATAATATGTAAAAATTACTATGCGTTAAATCGTTTAATATTTTCTAGTGTAGTGTACAACTTAATCGTATAACATTATAATAACTACAAAAGTTTTATTTACCATAATATACTCATAATTTAAATTTTTTCGATTAAAGCGTTTTTTGCCCATATTTATTCATGAATAAACACAACACTTACTATGAATATTATTATTATTGCTATTATTATACTATTATCATGGTCCTATGTTTCCCTTTAAATGATAATGTAAAACTGAGTGCCATCTATAAACACACAAACGCATCTAAGTGTAAATTTAGACAATAGATAATTGTTTAATAATAACAACAACAGTCAACAACCACATTGAAAACTATAATTAATCACACTTTATACTCTTTAACTTGCATAAAAAAATGTCATTATAGAAATTGTATTAAATAATAGCAATTTTGTCATGGAATTTTAAGAAGAAAAAAGTGTTTGAATATTTTGATTAATTCATAATTATAAATATACATAGGTACCTGCGGTATTCTAGTGTCTATTATAGAATAACATGATATGTTGATTGTTAATTTTTTTATAAATGGTAAATAAAAAAACAATTTTCTATCATTTGACTTTTAGTATTTTCCATGTGATATGTTTTATTATTAGGCATTCTCAATTTCACGAAATACATAAATGTAGTACAATGATATTATAACTATAATAACCATATGACAATAAATTTGTATAATTTGATTTTTAAGTATTAAACATATTATATTATGTTTCAAAAGTTTCAGTTTACCTCATTTATGATTAATGCATAATTTTTATATTGTAACATATAAAAAAAAAGGACTTAGGTCATATCAATATTATAATTTAAGTATCTTCAAATTAGTATTCAGAATATTTCTTCAGAATAATACATAAAACAGTGTTTATTAATTATTATTACCTATTGAATCAAATTAACTAAGCAACCCCCGCAGAACCCTTAAAATCATATTTCCAAAAACCAGATGTACACAAATAGAATTTGTGGAAATGTAATATGTCTTGATACAGTTAATAATTTTATCCTTATGTAATAACTTATATTAAGCTAGGTAACAGAGTTTGAAGTTTGTATGTATACCTAACCTACAGGTTATGAATCAATCATTCATTTTTCAGTACCTCTCATACAGTCGATGTCCTTTACATTTTGTTAGACAAAATTGGCAATGGTTGTATAATAACCTAATTAATTCCAACCTGCCATATTTGTTTCATGAAATTCGGAAGATCTTATGTAAAGGGTTCGGATAAGACGCATATAGTTATAAATAATAAATAAATGGGAAATACTATGAAGTTATCGACTTTTTTACAAACACAATTTTTTCATATATTGTTTTTATCATGGCTAATTGTCCATACTAAATACAAGAAACATGATATTGTTTCAGAACTTGTACCTACATATTTTTATTTATGAATAAAAAAATATTATTGTTTCTTTCAATGTGCATTTAATAAAATTATGTAGGACAGTATGTTTGGTCTCGGATAAACTGGACAAAAACAAAATTTATAATAATTATATTTAAATCGTTCGTTGTCATAACATTAATTTTTAATTTTAACTGATCGTACTACATTAGAATCCTATTGTAGAATTATAATTGTCGAAAAAGAAAACTTAAATATTTAGTGTTGCTAAAATTGATTTTGAGAACTAGAATGTGTATTTAAATTGTGTGCCCTGTGCAGATTACAATTCAACATTGTATCGCTTTATTAAATATATTATGTTTCAAAAATGTTACAATAAATAATGCATTTTTTAAGAATATATTTTATTATGTATGAATTTAAATGAAAACAAATTCAATGAATTTCAATTAAAAGTATACTATAATAAAAATAATAAAAAGAAAAAATAACAAGATGAACCACTTAAACCACTTGTTTTATTTCAACATAGAATGATTGAATAAGACTTAGTATTTACAATTTAACTAACATTCTTAATACCTACTACATCATATGCATTTTCTAATAATTGTTGATGGTATAAGAGCTTGGATTTAGATATACCTTGTTAATACCTAAAAAAACGTCACATAATACATTTGAAATCAGCATATATATTCATAGTTTATATGTGATCTTAATTATTTCTTATAGTGTATCAAATTGCCTGTATGCATAATCTTTATCTTAAGTACTTATGTATTTATTTTCATGTTATAAAGTTATACTACACAGAATGATTCACCAACCATTTTGGTCTTTAATAATGAATTTATTTGAATTTTTGATTTTGGAATTATTAAATATACTCAAAGACCACTTTTTCAAATGACAACCTCCCACAATAACTGTAAATTATTTAGTGGATAATTTTTTTGTTGAAATTGTTATATCTCATTCAAAATTTGAGTTGTTTTTCAGACGTCAAATGTCTCTGTACTAACCAAAGATAACAGTTCTTAAAAATGGTTTTAAAAAAAACATAAAATTGATGTAATATTGGATCTTGTATTTACTATACTTGGGCTATTTTTACAAAATTTCAATATTGATCATTTGATATGAATCTTTAAAATTTTAAATCATCATAGCTAAAATATCTTACAAACCCATCATAATATGTCTATTATCTTAAGGTAGAGTACAAAGTTAAATAACTCAAAAACTGCTAATATGAATTTTGATTTTCATACTTCATTAATTTTAGAAAAATTATCCACCAAATAATTTACAGTAGGAAAGGGGGGTTCTCATTACAAAACAGAAGTTTGTATCTAAACAGGATGCTCCTTAAATAGTAATAAACTTTCAAGAGTTTTAGAACAATATGATCTTTAATTATATTAAACAATTCCAAAAATCAAATCTTAAGCAACTCCATAGTTGAAATGAAAGGGTCGAGCATGCTTGGTCAATCACCCTGTATATCAAACGAAATCGATCATTTTTATTAGTTATTTAAAATGAATAATATTTGCATAGCATGTTCGATATAAAAGTACTCTAATATTAATTAGGAATGTTGTCATACCAAATCAATTATTTTTAAGTTAAAATATTTATTGCAAAAAAATATACAAATAGAGGATTGCAATTTTTAGATTAGTGATTTCTATTGCAAAAAAATATACAATATTATCTATAGATTTTAAATTAATTATAATTCATACTGTTAATAACTTGTAAAAGCTAATGTCTGAGTAAATGTTACAAATAAAATACTTAAAAGTATTTTGTTTCAAGATGTGGGATTTATTATTCAATGTTGGATATTTTAATTATTTCTGATTAGAAATTTAAAAATGATTGGGTATAAAGGAGGGAATAAAAAACTATATAATAATCATAATATTATCTAAGGTATCTATGATATAGTTTTTTGTTTATTATTTCTAGACTTGTGCAAAAAAGTAGGTATATTAAATTTAAATAAGTATATATGATACATTTTATACATTCAAATACAATTAATATTATAAAAAAACCGGTAAGTGTATGTTGCTTTACTGCATAGTAGGTTACAAGTGGGTCACTGTAATGGATGGTGCTAAATTTGAATTCAATGATATAAAATCATTGTAGTATACAGAAAACGATTCTGAGCTAAGACGGTCTATCAGCCTATAATATTACTTAGTAATTTAGTATATTTGATGATATTATTGGGATTTGAGTAATTTATTTTACTACTCGGCATTAGTACTGCAGTAGATTAAATTCATTTTTACGAACAATGTTCAATTTGATAAATGTTGTTAAAATTTGAACTTTAAATGATTATAAAACAAAATCGTAAATACGTATTTTTATTATTTTTCAACTGATATTGTAACAATATTTCAGGAGTCTTGTATTTAATTTTCAACTTTTTTGATGTAATATTTATTGACATTTATATAAAAAAAGAAAAGTTTAAGAAAATCAAAGCTTTTTAAAAGCATTATCACCAGAAGGTGATAACAGACACAAAACAAAAAACTAAAAAAAAACATTGATCATTGTAAAAGTAATACAATATTCATCACTTTGGCCAGAAACTAAAATAGCAAGTTATGCCAATCATTGGCGAATTATACTTTAAATTTCGAATAATTTTATGGGGGCCGATACTATTTTTAAACCTACATAGTTCGTAGTTAATTACAACATGATGACTGTTTCAACATTTCGAAAATATTATTATCTTACATAATATCATCACTACCTGATTAGCGTTGCATTGTTTTTATTGTTATTACTGTTGTTATAACTGTATAAGTAACTATTATTATTATTATTGTTATATACGGCTGGTTCGCGAAGAATGAATCAATAAATCAATTTATTATACACATATTGAACGTCTCACAACCGCAGTTTGTTATGGGCACGGTTATTTCAAATTTCGGTATAATCTTTTTTAAATTTGGCCGGTCATCCTCGATCGATCAAATTTCTGCATGATTCTTCTTTGAAGAGTGGTGACTCGGAATGTCGCTCGGTAGCAATAGCTAAAATGTAAGCCACGGAAAACCTAGTGGCGGCAGGTACCGCACGCATTATTATTATTGTATATACAATATACCTATACGTAGTAGTAGCTGCCATAAACGTCGTCTGTCGGCGGCGATCGGAAACCGTCGGGTCGTCGGGTTTGCGAGGCTTCATGGCCACCGCCGCCGTTCGAACACTATTGTTGGCGAATACGGCTACAGTCGATCCGACGTCGCGGCAACAGGCTCAATCGGGCCCAGCGTGGTGCACTCGGAACGTTTTTCTGCCGCCGCCATCGACGTATACAGTTTGTGTCGTGATTTTCCGTTTTTGATTTTCCCGTGTCGTGTGCTCGCGTCGAGTTTGAGAGCGATTTTCGCCGGTCTGTGTTGTGGTGCGTTTAGTTGATATATAATAATAATTATTTTTTTTAATGTTGGAGGCGGTGGGTGGGTTTGGTTGGCGTTCATCCAAACGGCCGAGCTCGGCTTTAATTTTAGATCCGGGGATAATGAGGAGTAGTAGGAGGAAGGCATAATATTTTGTCACCCGTTTTAATTATATTTTGTTTCCTATGTATTTTCTAATTGTCGATGGTTTTCGGTGACTTATTGCTATATTATACGATAATATACCATATATTCATTATTAGCCATGCGTTAGATTCGTTTTGAGTATTCTAGTGAAAACCCAAAATGTTGGTCTCTGTGTCCTAAAAAAATAAACCATTTTACCTTCACCGTGATAAATAGACATTTCAACGGACTGTTGAAAAAACTAATTACAATGCATCTTTTTTGAAACATGGGTAAACCTTTTTTTTCAATTTCCTCCATTAATCCGTTGTATAACACAATATGGTAGCCTTTAAAAATGTAGTTGTGTTTACGGTTTTAAGTTCTTTGTGACGTTTTTGCTTTGCTCTTTTTTTTTGAATATTTGATGTATAATACTTAGGACAAAGGTAAATAACATAAAAAAAATAATCGAAATTTGAGAAAAAGAGTCATATTATTGTAGAACGATATACTAGTTATGTATTTATAATAATATTATACTTACATTTTTTTTCATCTCAAAGCGGCATTAGTTTTACTGCAGTGCAAGAAAGAAAAATTTAATAGACGGTACGCGTTTCTCAAGTATTATAAATTTAAATAATATAATTACATTAAAAACCTAAAATATTTTTAACATGCTGTTTTATATTTTATATTAAAAAATATCATTACTGAACTTTTTTTTTTACGTGAATAAACTTCACATTTGCTTGCAAATCTCCAAATGTATTTCTTGTGCACATTTTGAATACGTTATGCTTATAATATTTTTTTTGTCCAATTCATGAATATTTTATACATTTTTTGATAAACAACACAGCAATTTTTCTTACTAATTATGACTGCACAGGAAGGACGTAATAATTAGTTAACGTAACCTGCAGTGGCGTGGTGATTGAAATTAAGTGAATTATTCAACAGAGTCAATTTTCCGATTTAAATTATTTCTACTTCCTAAATCCTGTATTCCTTGGATTTTGAATACAAATATATCATCTAATTTTATCATATAATTTTATGATTAAAAATAACACGTAACAAAGTTTAATTTTTTAAGTATCTATTGCAATAATTATAGCAATTATATAAATTAGTTTATTAAACACATTTATTAGGTGGGTATGTAGTTTGATTGTAAACTAGAAATTTGGGATGTACTCACCATGCCACTTACAATAAATAATGTTTCTGAATTAAAATCGAATTTGAACTTATTTAAATAACATAGGTACATCGTTACCAAAGTTTAACCAACCCAATTTTACAATTTGAAAATTACTTGACTTACTGTAACACAAAAATATATTATTCACAATTTTAGTTAATCTACAAATACATTATATACCAACACGATAATTTGTCCATAAAAAATTTATTATTCAAAAAAAAAAAAATCATCTTTCTAAAATGTGTTGTGCAGCGTAGGAATTTATTCGATTGAAAACATTGCAAATGTAATTATTTAATAATCATCGAATCTTCATGCATTTAATATTTTTTTTTCAAACCAAGTTACACTTGAATGTTTTACATTTTACTACAAATTAATTTGTATTCATAACATTCATAACATTCATCTGTTATGATTAGATAGATTAATTAAAATAACAATGATTTTAAATTTCTACATTTCATAATATCATGAATATATGAGTAATATGTTGATTTAATTGTTAAGAAAGTTAGAGTACCCATGATTTGTTATGTTTTTGTAACGAATATTGATATGACGTATCTGTGCCATAATGATAAAGAAAATAATATTGAACTGTGTCATCATTTAATTTTAGTCAAACCTAAAACTCTAATCGAATATAAAATTTCAATATAATTCAAATCCAAGTTCTATACTCCGTTAATAAGTGTTTTAATTAGTCATTCTGATCATAATCGTATTTCCGTCAACGTAAAATGTATTATATTCTGAAATATTTTTCAGAGGACACTCGATAAAAACCTTTAAATAAAACTGAAAGCAAACTGATTGTTGCAATGAAACATTTTCAATTGCTCGGAGAAAGAATTTTTCTATTTTCGTTTTATTTTCTATGATCAATGAAAAATTATTGTGATCTACTCGAGTGTACATTTATTTAATAGAAAGTCAGAATTGGTAAATTTGTTTTCGATGTTTTCAAAATGATGTGATTTATATTTATTGAATGATAATCTAAAAAAATAACTTTTTTGGTCGTATTATTATCTATAAATTTCATTTAAAAATAATTTCCTATAGAAGTAAATATTTTATTTATTTAATATTTTTTTTATTTCTCCAGTTATTCATTATGCATAATAATTAGGAAAGTGTTAATAATGTTATTGATAATTTAGAAAGTTATATCTTGCATTTTATCTGACATAGTTTAAATTTTATCAATATTGGAAAGGGGAACTATGTTTTTTTTTTTTTTGTTAGGCTTTGAGTATAAACTTTTTGTGAAATGAGCTTTTCAAATAATTCATTTGATTTTTTAGGAATTTAAAGAGTGAAATTTATGCCAGGTCATTTTAAACTAAATTAATTGTTGACTTGGAAAATTGTAGTTTGAAAGAAAATTCTTTTAAATGCTCAACTATTATATTTAAGTAACTTAATTAAAAAAATATATTAATTTTACCTACGGCGTTGTAAATGTAATAGATTATAGAAATGGTTTGATAATTGTTGATCGTTGTCTGACGTTACTTTATAAATATTCAAAAGAACCAAATAAATTTTAAATAATTTATGAAACGTTTACCCATAAATTATTATGGCTTAAGAACAAAGCTATAAATAACATAGATTTGTAATTTAAAGAACGGTAGGATAAAATCTATAATATACACAATAGTAAGCTTATATAGTTTATCTAAATGTGACAATCTATCTTTTTTTGTCAAATATAATATAACAATATTCTAGTCCCACTCGAACCATAGCTAGCGAAGCGAGTTGAAATATAAAAAAATAGCTTCATCTTTAACTTTCCAACAATCATGTTAATTATGTTTTAAAAATAAATATTATTTATTTCATATTATATTCTTTTATTATATCTTATATATTGTGAATAAATTTATTTGAAATAAAAATATTCTAGATCTAAAATCAATAATAATTTCATATTTTGATAAAATAATGGTTATGCTGTTTTTCAGTAGAAATTATTTGTATGTATTTTAAATTCATTAAATCTATCATTAAAAGTTTCTTTACAAATTTTCATACTCTATTTCACACATTTACTTGTACATGATAGAAACATAAATAATATCATTGTGACGACCAAAGTAGTTTTTATAATAATGATAATTTAGTTCATTGAGTCGTGTAGATACAAAGTTAAACGTTGGAAAAAAAATGCATAGAAAGTCTAAATACTCATGGTGTCCGTTAAAAATCTTAATTTTAATACGTAAAGGTACTTTGCGTGCCAATTATTTTTGTAAAAACAAGTTTACAACTGTTCAGTACAGTATTTTTATTTTATCGTAGATTGTATAGAAATAGTCGTGCAGTAAGCGTTGAACATAAAATACGGTACATATAGGTATGTTTCTCTCATTATTAATATTATTCCTTTTCTTTTTTGCTCAAAATCGTAACGTGTTTTATCTATTGCTTAAAAACTTAGTTTCCGTGTGTAGCGTGACCCTCGTGGTATAAATTAAAAACGCCCACTGAGTTATTTACGCTTTTGTTCAGTGATATCTCCGCTTCAAATTGATTTTCCGATAATAATCTATCCGGGCACCCGACACGTAAACTTCTGTTCAAAAGTGTGTATACGGGTAATTGGATCGTTGCTTTGTCGTAACAGTAACCTCCGCGAGACGAAAAATACCCACCGGGCCCTTTGAATTTGCAATTCAAATGACTCCTTCCCCCGCGCCATGCCATCAGCCATATTCGCTACCGTTTTACTTTGCAGATTTGTCGAGCCACACATCGTTTCGGCGTGGGGATTTGCTCTTCAACATTTTGCCCTTTACGGCCAACGTGCTCGGTACATCCTACAGGGCTAGGGATTACTGTGGGATTCTTAACATTGCCGCCAGCAAATCCTGGATTTCAATATCATATATTATATCTGCGGCACTGTACAAATATGACAAAAGGGTAGTATATAGGGACCGGATCGTGGAATACGGTACTGCTCGAAAACGTACGATTTTAAATCCGAGTAAAATTTTCAGAATTTGACCACGGCCTTTCACATAAATGTTTCGCAATTGAAATGCACTACTATGCAATGTATACGATGTGCACCTACGCCCTGCGGTCGAAGGAGTTATCGCGTCTGTTACTTTACTTACCAAAAATAATTCAGAAACATCAAACAAATTAAGTAGCGTGAATTAAAAAAAAATGTACTTCGTCTACCACATTCGGATCTCATATTTATCACTAAAAGTATCTACTAAATGTTTAGAGCTTAAGTACTGACGTTAAAAGTTTAATTACAGCGAGACGAAAAGCAGGCTCTTTCACATTCGTTTGTAAAGTTGTATAACCTAATCATTAAGCAACGCTAATTAAATTATGTGAACATAAAAACATGTCTTGAAATAAAAAAAATAAAAATATAAGAAAAAAAGAATAATATTTAAAATCAAAATTTAAATATGCCTTTATAAAATAACCAGGGTTTTATAAATTGTATGTAGATTACCTACTATTTTAGAACATTTTCAAGTACATGTATTATGTAATACCTACTTGACATAATATATTATTAGATATTAAACTTGCAAAACCATTTAGTTATTTTGACACTCGTCAATGTTTACGCCACTGAAATAAACAATTTTAAAATTTTTTTTTATCATCAACCATTGAACGTTGAACCATTCGTTTCTCATTTGTAATCATTTAAGTCGTATACCTAAGCAGTACACCGTATAACAGATCACTAATGTATAATACGGTATCTAGTGTCACTGTGTTCCTTTTGTATACATTTTAAATGTTTATAAATGAGAAACGAATGGTTTGATATTTGAAATGCATAATATTATGGCACATATTGATGTTTTGAGTGAAATATTATTAGAATTGATAGAATTTAAAGTTATTATTTTCATGATAATGCCAATGAATACTCTTATTGTAACAGTTTATTAACGTAAATGTATTTATCAAAATGTTTATTCGATGCATCAATTTATTATTTTAACGATAATTATTTTTAGTTTATTATTTTGTACCCAGTTAATGTTTCATACATTTTTATCAACAGCAAATATATGTATTTAAATTATAAAACACGATAAGTATTTATTAAAAAAAAAATCAATAATAATTAATAACTTAAATTGAAATCGGTAAAAGTTTGTGATAACATTTGACGGTCAGCAATGTTATCTCATTCGAATCCGCGTGTTTGATTTGTACAACACAATTATTTAAGGGTCATGTCAAGTCATCTGTATAAAACCAAATGAAACATTTCGTAAATAACCTCTTAAATTTGTAAGTGACAAAAGTAGAATGCTATATGTAGTAGGAAACTGACCGTACACATTTTTCATTAAACTCCGTCTCTGGAAGATGTATCATGCCATTAAAATATATTTATTTGCGATTTTAATGAGTTTTTTGTTTGTTCAGTGACCGTGCGTGTGTACCACTGAACAAAAGAACAGCTATGTAATATAAATTTATAAAATATTTATAGCTTTTTGATTTGCAGATATCTGGCAGTGTCATAATCCTTATTATCGTTTATTCTAACTGATAGAACTGACAGTCGAATATGTATTTTTTTTTTTACACAGGTTTGGGTCGTCAAAATATCTATAAGCGGGCAGTATTGTAATAATTTTATACATAGGAAATTAATTTATCTTGTTTTTTTTTGTTTTTATAACATATAATATTGTTTTATCTTCAAATATTTTCTCAACAGCCACACTCTCCCATATCAACTTTTTTTTTTTATAAAATTACATAGTATGGGAAGGGAATCAAAATGAGCATATTTAAAACTTGTATATTTCATCTTTGACACTATCGATCACGTGCACAGATTGACTTAAGCATTGTGTAACAAAAGGTAACCCAAACATGCAACAACTATCAAAATGACTTCGAAGAACGATTAAAACCCATTGAAAAACAGAAGTAATTTGCTGTAACCATCGCTATTTTACATTTCTACGTATTTGTGTTGTTATTTCAGTTTCGCTATTAGTATGTACCGAATAGATATCTCCTCACCCTCTGGATCTAAATTTCATCATAATGTGGGTGGATGGGTATTGAGAATGGGTTGGGGAATCCTATTAATTGGGGTAATGAAAGAACTATTTCATCTTCGCCGTTTTCGATGGCGTTTTTTTTATGTATTTTAGGCATTTCGAATAACCTCCACCGCGTCCTCAGAGTAAAATAGGAGAAGAAATACTAAAACTAGTCCAACGTTACTTGAAAAATGACTTCAAAAGACGACCAAAGTCCAAAGTCAAGTGGCAGTCTTCGTAAACCATTTTTGTTGACGGCTGGTTCCAAAAGCGTGGACGACCAGAAGACCCGTCATGACAGTGGTAGTAAGGCTTCACTATCGTCCGTCAAATGGCACTCAGCGCCGGCCACAGAACGTGAAGATGGAAGACCGTCATCACCGTCCGCACACAAGTCGACATCAGCGGCGATCGAAGTGTCCACTGCCGGTGGTGCCGGTGGTTGGAGACCGCTTCAGAGGCAAAAGGTGGTGACCGCGGCACCGACGCTCGAAGAGGACGAGGACGGACGCCCTTCTGTGACAGCGGCTGCAGCCGACACTGACCGGTCATCGCGAAAACGGTCAGCGGTGGTGCGTCGCGGTTACAGTTGCCAGGAACCGTGCGCTGCCCGCCGGCCGATGACGATGAACAATTGCGGTTGCGTGGCCGTGGGCGGCGTAGGTGGCACCATCACTGCGGCCGGCGAGAACAGAAGACGCTGGCTGTCGGCGGACACGGGTGGCAACGGTCATGCGGTGGCCGGCACCAGCCGGTCTATGGAGTGCCTTCCGTCTCCCCAACCGCCGTCCACGCCACACCACCTTCACCGAACCAGCTTCATAATGGCCGCGGACGACCGAAAGTCTCTGGACAGTGGCCTGGACGACGTGGCGGCCACGGCCGCTGCAGCTGAGATGGCCGACCGCCGGCGTGGCATATTCGCGTCCACCCGGACATCCGTGCCGTCACACCTGTCGCTCGCCTTGCCGTCGTGCGAACGCCGCTTGACCATCTTGTCGCCGCACACACACACGCCGACCACCCCCGCCTTCTACTCGACGTCGGCGTCCACCGAGACCGCTTGGCACTTTTGCACATCATCCGCGGCGGCTGCCATGTCGTCGTCCACTTCGTTCGCATCCCACTCTACCGCGGCCGCGTCGTCCATGTTCACCTCCACAGCTGCCGCAAACGCCGCGTCCACCTGCAGGCCCCGCAAGAAGACACGGCCCGGCATGGTGTTGCCGCGTCTAGTGCTACCCGGAAGTTCCGACTTGGACATATTCTCACAGTAAGCAAGTGCCGTTATTTTATTCGCTGGTTATTGTTCAACCCCTAAACCCTGTAACCATCGTGGTCCCGAATATGGGTTACGTATCTTTCTGAGAAGTTCGTATCGTTAAATAATTATTATAATTTTCGAATCGGGGTTTTCGTTAATTTTCTTACGATTTTTTTTTTTTTACTAAGCATAAACGTCGATTACTCGTACTTACCTACTCGAATTTTAATGGCCTCAGAAAATTTCCAAAATTTCTTAAGATGGACCTCTAAAAATATAGGACACATCATAGTATTCCATATTTTTTCGAAAATAGTGTGTAGTGTGTAATGTATATAGGTCTTTTCTATCGTAAATTGTGTTATTTAGCTCACTTGGTTCGTTGTTGGTATCAATTTTAATAGCATCGTTTATAGCTCATATAAAATATGTATACAGCCGTTTAATGAAAGTATAATATTATTTTTAACCAAAAACAATATTTTGTTTAAAACGTTTTAAACGTGCTGCGTGAATAATTTGTAGTTTATTGGCAAAATATTTAAAAACAATTAGTTTAATACTGCTAATAGGGTTTCTTAAAACTATATTTTTATAACGCCTACAACATTGTTGGGTTTGTTGTTTTATGTTCACCCCACTGACAATGCTGAACTCATCAACTTTATTGCCAAATTATGTATTTTTACCACAAGCAATTATTTTAAACGGTGAGTATTTATAAACCTCAACACTGACAAATGTATAAACATTCATTATTGCATCTATAATCGTAGTAAGCTTCATATTAGTATAATATTATCTACTTTGGTTATAAGTATATCTTCATATACGGTCCACTGCACAATCTTAACAAATTTTCTGAAACCCAATTTTTGATTGACCTTCGCAAGAAGAAATACGTATAGTTGACTTTCATAAAATTAAAGAAATTTGTACCTAATAAATAACAATTGCATATAAAGGTCACTTAAAAATTAAAATTTTTATTTATCGAAGAGTAAATAATATAATATACATATAGATTATATAATATATAAAAAATCATATTATACACACATTCGATTGAGTAATTTCTTTTTTTTGAGGTATCTAATTTTGTATTTTTTTTAGGTAATTCATCTTGTTGTTTTCGGTTCTGCACCGATCAGGTCTGAAACGATGCAGTTCATATACCTATCCAATGTCAACAGACAAACATTCATTAATAATTATAATTATTATTTTAAGTCACAAAACAATGACGAATTTTACTCTAACCTGCTTCTAAGTCCCCCGAGTGCATTATTATCCAACCATTTTCTTGCCTGTGGCTTAGTTTATTTAATAAAACTTTTATACAGAAATATACCGATATATACCGTAATATATATTACTTTCTTAAAAGTTAGTGATCATATGTAGTGGTTTTCTCCTGTAAAATATATTATAGAAAACATTCTATACAAAAATATAACTTATACAATTGTTTTCATCCTATAATAAAATTTGTTATATGGAATTAATACGAAAAATTCAAGCCGTATTTATTAGAAATTACAAATCAATTCGTTTTGACCTGAACACTCAAATATTTTTAGAAAGGTAGTCTAAACAAAAAAATAAATACTAATTTTGTTTTTGTACTTTATCGTATTCAACGTGGTATTATAAAATTATAGTTGGACTGTACCTTAGTAGCTCTTTTATTTTCAAAAATAGAAAGAACGGTGTCTCTGCTTTAAAACTCCTTAGGGGGCTTTTAAATCGTTCAACTACTCTGGGATCTGTTAAAATGTATACGGCAGTAACTGCTACGAGGTCTCACAACCATAAAAACTCGTCTAAAATTGAATTACTATACTTTGGATACCGTTACCTGTTAAGGATTTAAATTCAATAGACAATCGGTATCGAATGAGAAAGTTAATCAGTTCATTAAATCTAAGTTAGAATTAATTTAAATAGCTGCCAAGTGGTACCTATACTTGGTCGTAGGTATAAATGTACATTTTGTGAATTTAAACATTTTTATTGTCGATTTAAGGAATTCATTTTATTTGATAATGCTTTGACTTTTCGTATGCAATAAACTGTAAAGTTACTTCAGAATGCATTCTATGGCGGATTTGTTCACGTTTGAACTATATTTATTACTGCAAACAGTTTTAACATTTATTTCAAATTCTATTTTTTATTTGAAACACTGAATTTACTTTATTTTCATACATACATTCATACATACATACATATATGCCGTATTTGATATAATACGAAATATATCAAAACTTTTACAATGTCTTTTACGAATATGGTGTTGCGTCGTGTTCGTTCAAATCAGTATTTTTTTGTGGCTATAGGCAGATAGTTACTCTATTGAATAAACAATTTTTACATTTTTCATATTCTTTCAAATGTTGTGATTGTATGTGAGTTATCCCCCCCTCCCAAAAAAAAACAACAAATATAGCATTATAATTAATAATAAATTGTTAACTCTTTCGAAGTAGTTACTCACGATAACATGCTTCAATCAAAATATCATATTTACCTTTCCTTTATGCATTACGTTAATTAATTAGTTCAATACAATTTAACTGATTCGTTTATTTAAATACATCTCCTACATTGTACAACGAAAAATTTAAATCAGCTATCTATTAAATACAAAGATATAATACAAAATATGTTGTGACAGAAATAATGTCAGATTCTGTTTATGTTTCATTCTATATTGTAACACAAAAAAAAAAAAACTGATTGTCTGCAAAAAATATCTCAACAACATTGTTGACATACTTGTTTTTCAGTTTAAAATTGATTCAACATAGAGTAAAAAACGAAAAACAAAATATTATATTGTTGAATATTATTTAGTGAACATATAGTGATTTGATTTTTCTCTATTAAGTTTTTGAAGAGGCAAAAAAATGGCTTTATTTACACTTACTTTTATTATCTTTATTGTCATTGCTTAAAATTTATTTTATTATAACTCAGTATTTATCCATATTTATTAGGTATATAGATAAATCTACCCAAGACTTTTAGATCACTACGTCTACTAAAAAAAAAAAGATAACGAACACAATAAGCTTTTAAAAAAAATCCTCTTTATAAAACCATAATATTGCAGTATGGAACTCTAAGACATAAGTATTTTAAAGCATAATAAAACTACGTTAGATAATTATTTTATATACTTATTATTACAACCTAGTATCTATATCTTCTCAGACTTCAAGAACTACGTTCATTTTTATGAGATCGTTAATTATCGTTTTTTTTTTTTTTTTAATTAGAGCTCACTCCGGTGCTTAACAATTACAGCTCAACGATTACAAATAAAAATATATACTTATTACAGTCAATATAATTAAAACTGAACAAGACAATTAAAACAGTAGAGTAAAACATTTGAGTTTCGAGCGAAATGGGCAAACATTTTGTTTAGTGTTAATTTCATTTCGCTGAGTTCATTAAGATGGAGGTTGTTATGAAAATAAGTATACCTGCCGACGAATTATTGATTTTGCGTAGGCAAAGAAGTGTAGATGACAATGTCATAATTGTTAATAAGACTGTAACTCGAACGTTATAATATCACCGCTATTTATTAACTTAAATTTTTTTTATAATTCTCGTTTTCTATAAATGGTTTGCATGATTCATATCACGTTTCGATGCATATAGTTCAAAAACGGATTCTATTCAATATTTCAGTATTTTAAAATAGGGTACGAATTAGATATTAATTATTATACGCATGGCTGATAACAATTTTGTAGGAGATTACCGATTTTAGTTTTATTTTCGTTATCGGTTTGGTTGGATAAAAATGGTCTTTGATATCGGAGTTCATGAGTATCCGAAAACTCTTGAGATAAGAGGTTAATGATTGAAAACATATAAAAAACTTGTTCAACCTTCCATGTACAATATTAATTTTGATACAAGAATATTTGATTAAAATATAGTTGTAATTATACTAGTACGTATACGTATTTAATCGTTATTATAAATTGTGAAAAATTAAAAATACCAGATCGGTTGAGTAATAGACCGTGGTAAATAACATTAATACCGCAATCAAACTTTAATAAATTTCAAATTATTATACGCTTATACCATACAATAATATTATACTGCACTTGCATACTTGACTTGTACTCGTAGTTGTAGGGTCCTAAGTCAAACTCCCAAGTCTATATAAGAAACCACATTTTGTTCAACTGCTCCTTCGAGGGTTCATTGTGCATGGATGCGTAAGCTCCTACGAGCTTCCGGAGCTGTCGGGACTCCGTAAACTAAGTTCACGTTTTTAGGAAATATTAACTAAACTTTTCTAAGTAAAAGATGGAATGAAAAAGGTGTGGGGGCAAGTACTACGCGTTGCTCAACCTTTATATTTATAGATATTAATTGTATTTAGATTTTAGATTTTTAGATTCTTGAACTTCTTAAAGGATACTAATCATAATGTATTGTGACTCGTGTATCGTATATGTTTGTATATGATCACATAACTATGCAATTATTATTCTTCTTTAAATTTGATAACATAATATAGTACTGCTATCGTCATTTATATAATATGCATTGAACACAATTTTATCTAGGTCAGTTTACACGTTTAACTTTATTTTATTAGGAAATGGAACATTGGATGTAACACATGAATTATTTTACAGTCAGGCAATAATCTGTTGCTCGTAAATAATTGTTAAACTAATATAATATTTTATTTGGTTTATTCCGTCCAAAGTTATAATAAAACCATTTAACTTGTATTAATTGTACTATTAATTTGACTTCGTACTATAGTGTACAATGTACCTACATTACACTTTAAGATTTAAGAATAAACAATATGATTTACTTAAATGTAAACTAAAATCACACGATGTAATGCAACTGAATTTATACATTATATCGTGCATATTTTTTTATAATTTTTATTTTTCATGTTATACTATGCAGATTATGTCCAAAAATCATTATTTTAATTACGTTAAAAAAATATTCATATC